TCCCTTGAGGTGCTTGTGTCTAGTAGAATTATGTCTGTATCCACAGAATTCTCTTTGTATTCAGTTTTTATACTTTGGTCCTATCTACCACAAATGCTAAATAATAAATATTTGGAGGTAGAGATGTCCCCCAGCTCTGCCTCTCAAGTAACAAATTGGGAAAAGCTAGACAATTTCATTCATAATTTCTAAGGCTATGTCTACACTGGCCAGTTCTTCCGGAAAATCAGCCGCTTTTCCGGAAAAACTTGCCAGCTGTCTACACTGGCCGCTTGAATTTCCGCAAAAGCACTGACTTCCTATTGTAAGAAATCAGTGCTTTTTGCGGAAATACTATTCTGCTTCCGTTCAGGCAAAAGTCCCTTTTGCGCAAAGCTTTTGCACAAAAGGGCCAGTGTAGACAGCTGAGATTTGTTTTCCGCAAAAAAAAACGCGATCGCAAAAATGGCAATCGAGGCTTTTTTGCGGGAAGCGCATCTAGATTGGCACAGACGCTTTTCCACAAAAAGTGCTTTTGTGGAAAAGTGTCCGTGCCAATCTAGATGCTCTTTTCCAAAAATGCTTTTAACGGAAAACTTTTCCATTAAAAGCATTTGTGGAAAATCATGCCAGTCTAGACGCAGCCGTTTATCCCCAAGTAAATTCTTTAATCTTCCTAACTTTTAATTTTATTTTTACTGATTTCTTAGAGTTCTGCTGTGTTAGCCTCCCCTCTAGAAACTCTGCCTTGCACCAGGGAAATTGGAACTCTTGATTCAGGGCTAGAGGCTTTTATGGATCAAACTCATTTGTATTCCTCACAGGCCTTCCAACTACATAACTACCAGGGCAAGGTGAAGGATAAGCACTGCATGCTCATTCTTAGGACCCTGTTTCCTGGAGTCATCATGTGATTACACTAGACCATGGGCTCCCAAACTGGGGGGGGGGCGTGAAGAAATTCCAGGGGGGGGCGAGGCCACCCTGCCACACACACCCCCGTCAATCCCACCCCAAGTTTTGCTGCTATTTTTTTGGGAGGGGGGGCGTGAGGGTTTCTCAAAAATCAAAAAGGGGGCGTGATGCGGAAAAGTTTGGGAACCACTGCACTAGACTCTTAACTTTTAACAAATGTCAACTTGCCATGTTGACAAGCCCTTTGCTTTCATTTGTTAAAAAGTTAAACTAGTGTAATAAAGTGTTACCTAGGAAACAAAGAGCCCTGAATCTGAGTAAATGAAGGATCAGTATTGTCTTTTTAACATGCATGTGTATTTGTAATGTTGAAGTCTGTATAAACATTTTGGAAATTATTATTTAGTGTCATTAACACCTACAAAGGAGCTTGCCTCCATATTTAATATCTTCAAGTCATTCTGTGTTTTTGAGTTATAAAACAACCATACTGATTGTTAAAAGATTTTTTGTATTCCCTCTCCCCCCTGGAAGAGTAGGAATGTAAAGGTAGTGATTTTACAAAGTATGCTGTGTAGACCAAACTATTCAAGTGTCAATAAGGGGATTTAAAGGTGTGTCTTGTTGAGAAAACAAACAAACAAAAATCTTGAGATGCTGCAGTGGAAGTTTAAATCTTGCTAATTTCTGATTAACTGATCTGTGATTAGAAAATATCATACAGTTTTAAAGTTACAGTATTTTTTGGAAAAAAGACTCCTAATTTACACTACACACAGAAAATTTCAAACAAATTGTACACTTAGATCAAAAGTTAGAGAAATTGGAAGGGGTCAAAAGAAGCTATACAAAAGAACTTTCAATGCAGCCTTTACTATGAAGTCTCTATCTTACACTTCCAAAATATGTGTGTATTTCCATTTATACTTACACTTACATTTTGGTGTCTCAAAAATTAATTCCCTCAAGTAATCACTTCTGGACCTCACATTTTGAATAGCTTATTTTTGCACAGTAGTGCTCTAAGCTATCTCTAGGCTATCTTTGATATGAAAATTCCACCATCAGCCCCTTCTGGTGCTAGCAGTTTCTTTGTTACTCTAGGATTTAGAAAATGTTTTGTGGAGTCTTCGCTTGGCTGACTACCTTCTCCTACAGCAGGCATCTCAAACTAGCATTTGGAGGGCCGCATATGGCCAGATCGAAATTTTTTGTGGCCCCCCCAGGACATTTTTATAAAAGAATAAAGTGCGGCCCGCTGGCCGCTCAGAGCACATGGCCGAGGGAATGCTCACGGCCGGCCGAGCTGCTCTGCACACGCGCTTACAGCCGGCTGCGTGCTCCAGCAGGCGCTCACTGCCACCTCAGCGCCTCAGGCGGCAACGTTGACTCTGGGACCCAACTATTAGTTTGGGGGGGAAAGGGGTCCTGAGAGAGCTTGGCTCTGGGGGAGAGGGAAGGCATTAGGTTGGGAGGGTCTGGCTTTGGGAGAGGAGGGAGGCGTGAGGTGGGGGGCTGGGAGTGCCTGACTATGGGGGAGGGAGGGAGGCATTAGGTTGGGAGGGCCTGGCTCTGGGGGAGTGGAGGGAGATTGGGTTAGAATGGGGATATGGGAGTGACTGGTTCTGGGGGAGAGGTGAGGATATTTTGTTAATAATTTGTTTATTTATTTATTTTTTCCCAAATAAAATCACAGAATATATATTAATTTTATATCAATGAATATGTCAATCTTTTGCAATTGCATGAGTAATTATATCTTTATGCAAAATCTCAAACTCACAAAGTATCTGAAATTTTCACAGAAGCCTATTCTATTTGATTAACCATGGTCTATACTCTTTTTTTATTTCAATGAAACAAGTTATGTATCATATACAAAATTTAAAAGTACCTTACATTTATATTTAAATTACAAATTATGTAAAATTAATTTTAAAATTATGTAAAATTAAATTAAAAAATTATTTAATCGGAGAAAATAACAATTTTACACATCAAATTATTGTAATATTATAAAATATACCTAAAACATAATCTATAATAATAAATAACTATGACTTTCCAACAAAGTACATTTTCTTTGGTGGCCCTAGGGTTGCCTTGTGACTGGCGACCGGTGTTGGTTGATGGTTTTGGGAATCCCAGGTGGCCCTGAAAGCTATCAGTTTTCATTTGTGCAGCCCTCAGTAGGCTTCGAGTTTGACATGCCTGTCCTACAGCATTCTTCCCCCTGCTCCTCGGGCTGTAATCTGTTAAAAGTGCACTATTAGCTGAGAGGAAAGTGGATTCACAGCTACTAACTGCCCAGAAGCCCCAGGGCTGAATTATATTTCATTTTAATAGAAAAATAAGCTTGCTAGGGTCTAAACCCCATAAGAATACAGTGACTCTAAAGTGAAAACATTATATGTGTGTGCACAAATGCACATTAAAGCTAACATTTGGAAATCAAAGATTTGATTTCCAAGCAGCTGGATGTCATGATCTGAAGGCTGATTAAGTCAGTTACAGCAATTTGTCTATTGCCACATTATCATGTGACTTAGTCTTGGGGCCAAATCCAGCCTGTTTTACTCAGATGATTTTAAAGCTATGTCTACACTAGGAAACTATTTTGAAATAACTAAATTTGACTTAATGACTCCCGATTTTACAAACTCGAAATTGCATGTCCCCACTATGGGGAAGCCTTGAAATTAGGCAGAGGCAGGACTAATGTGAGTTTGGATGCACTACCTCAACTTAGAGCCCTAGGAAGCACTGGGGAGTAATTAATTTGAGTCACTCTGGAGAGAAGTTATTTTGAAATAGCAGCACCAGAGTGTCCACACTAACACGATTTCAAAATAAGTATTTCAAAATTAGCTTGATTTCCTGAGAAAAGCAGGAGTATAGATTTCAAAATAAGCAGCCCCTTATTTCAAAATAAAAGGCTTGTTAGTGTGGACGACGATCTGCTTAAAAATTCAACCTAAGGGGGATTATTTTGAAATAAAACCCTAGTGTAAACCAGGGCTTAAAGAGCTACTCACATGTGGTAGGAGGAAAACAGGACAGTTACAATAAGAACAAGGTTTCTAAGTGGATAGTGAAGTTATACCGCCTTTTTTGAGCATATTCAGTAACTTTTGGGTCAGGCCTTCTTTCTACAGTAGAAAAGGTTTGCCAGTATGGCTACACTGACATACATTCTAGTAGAGATGCAGCCATCAAAACAGCACTTTTGCAGATAGAGCTTATATTGCATCAAAATAAGCAATATTAAGAAGCACATTTTGCCAACATAACCACATCTACACTGGAACATTTATGATGTGGAAACTTCCTTCTAGGAAAATACCCAGTCACTTACTTTGCACAGTGGGTGGATATTTTCTTAGAAGGAAGTTTCCACATCACAAAATTTCAGTGCAGATGTGGTTATGTTGGCAAAATGTGCTTCTTAGTATTGCTTATTTTGTTGCAATATAAGCTATCTGCAAAAGTGCTGTTTTGATGGTATAAGCTGCATCTCCACTGAAACGTAAGTCAATGTAGCCTTACTGGCAAACCTTTTCTACTATTAACAACAGGGCCAGACCCAAAAGTTACTGAGGATGCTCAAAGAAAGGTGGTATAACCTCACTATCCACTTACAAAACTTATTCTTATTAGTACAGTCCTGCTTTCCTCCTACCACATGTGAGTAGCTCTTTTAAAGATACGAATGACTTTCAGTCACAGCTAGTCTGATAACAGAATGGAACTACTGGAGGAAGGACCCCATATACCATTCCTTCCTTCTGTCTTATTTTTCTAATGCAAAATGTGCAACATATATGTAGAGTCTAAGCTCCTTCCTCTCCATTTTTCAAACAGCATAGCAACTCACTGTCTGACCTCTTCTGTTCTCCATGCTTTTCATTCTGCTTAGTGACTTGGTTTCCTCCTGCTGCCACATGCTTATGCTCCACAATCCTTCACTTCACACTTCCTTCCACTTTCTCCCTTCTGCTCACCACTACAATTACAGCATTAAACTAAACTGAAACGGAACAAATTTGATAGCAGTTACAATTATGACATCACAGATCCCTTGATGCCAACTGGCAGAGGTCACAGCCGGGGTATAGGTTTTACAGGCATTCTGTGACTGAGATTGTCATAAACAGGAGGAGTGCTGACCAGCATCCAGTGACTAAGGGGTTGAACTCAGGTAGCTAGCAAAAGTGTTGGTCAGGTGGCCAGGAGAACCAATTGAGATAGAGGGATGAAATTTGAATTGGATATAGATTCCTTACCTGCTTTCTTTGTGTGGGAGAGAAAAAACAGCAGTTGAGAGACACCGAATGATTTAAACCCAGGCAGGACTACCATGTCTCAAAGGAATTTGGGACATGGGAGTGGACTGAACAAAGAGAAAATTGGAAGTAAGTAAAGGGAAAAGTGAATCTAGTCGCGTTCAGGGTAATTTTTTTTATTTTGTGGTTTGCTTTGAACTGCTCTGTGTGAATCTATGCTTTCCATCCCCATTTACCATCTAGCACTGGGCCCAGAGACTTTTCTCTGTGTTTTAATTTGTTTTCCTTAGTTGCTCTGTAAGGGTGTGTCTAGACTACATGGCTCCGTCGACAGAACCATGTAGATGAGTTTACTCAGCAAAGGGAAACGAAGCGGCGATTTAAATAATCGCCACTTCATTTACATCAAAATGGCCGCCGCGCTGTGCCGATCAGCTGATTGTCAGCACAGCGCG